AAGAAACACCCTGCTCGCCTCCAGGGTGCCCTGGGTTTCTCGTGTTTCGATGGTTTTGCGGTGGCACGCGTGACATTCCCACATTTCTTCAAAATCAGTGGTCGTCCTGTGGTCTCAGGGTTGGGCTTTCTGCGGAAGGTTTCTTGTGGTCGAGTTTCACTTTTATACACCGATGTAGAACCTTGAAGCAGCTGCCCAGGCGGCGGTCGACTGGTTTCCAAAACCTGGCCCTCGCGTCGGCTCCGCAGTCTTTTTTTGTTTTTTGTGATACTTCCGGGTTCCGGCTACACGGTCGGCGGTCGGCTACACAGTGAGAGGGTTCGGTATAGCCCTGCATGTCACAGGCGTTTCTGATTTCATTTTCGTTAAAATCACAAAGCGCAGGTCCAGTAGAAACCCATGCCAAGAAACACCCTGCCTGCCTCCAGGGTGCCCTGGGTTTCTTGGGTTTCGATGGTTCTGCGAGTGAATGCATGACGTTCCCACACTTCAAAATCAACGGACGTCCTGGGGTCTCAGGGTTGGGTTTCTTGTGGAAGGTTTCTTGTGGTCGAGCCCCATACTGTAATTCCGGGTTCCGGCTACACAGTCGGCGGTCGGCTACACAGTCAGAGGGTTCGGTATAGCTCTGCATGTTACGGGCGCTTTCTCCTTTCACTTTTCTGAACAATCCCAAGGCGCAGGTATTTCTCGCGCGCTGCTGAATTCGCGCAAGTGCTGCGGGTACCGACTTCTGTCAGCGCAGGCACCGCAGGTGCGTCAAATGATGGGGCGCAGGCATCGCCTGTGCCTCTTGACGCGATCGCAGGCACCGCCGGCACTGCCTGTTTCTCACAGTCGCAGGCATGCCACCCCGTGTGGGGCCGCACAGTTCTAAGCAGGAGCGAGGTGCGAGGGCGAGGAGCCGGCGGCGGGGAGGAGGGGAGGGGGACGCTGCTCATTGCTAGCAGCGCATCCGAGGCATCGCCCCAAGCGGGGCTGCGCCGCCCGTCGCGGGATGGGGGCGTTGGCGCTCGGGCAGCGCCGGGGATGGGGAGGCGCGGGTTTCGCCTGGGGGGTCAGCCCTCCCCCCCAGTGCCCCGCCGAAGCGTCGTCGCTTCTTCTGTGACGCGATGCCGAGATGGATAGGACCCAACGACGTGAAGTAGAATGGGGCGTTGCGCAAAACACCGTATGCTAACATGAAAACCCGGACATGTGGTAAAACGAAGTGTCATGTATATGGTCAGACAGATACACCATTGTGTGTGTGCGTAGCGATCGGTACACCATATTGTGATTCTGTGGCATGGAAATGTCTGCTACGGCATGCGAACACATATTTGCATTATTTGCATTATCCGCGTAATGGCTGCCAGTGTACGAAGCCATATGGGTGCAAGTCGGGTGGCGCAAGGCCTGTTATTCGAAGCTCACCCAACCTTCGTGTTGCACTACGCGCTTCTGGAACGTAAGCTTCGAAAACGCTCGTAGTGAAGCCATGTATCCACTTGGGCAACGTGCCCCCACGAAACCAAACCTCCAAGGGCCAATTCGCAGGATAGCATTTGTTTTACATCTCTACCGTTCTGCCCCTTCCCAATGGTACGTCGGATTATCGCTACTCGAGCTCTGACGGGCCCTGAAGTTGTGGCAGACTGCGACCCCTGGGGCCACCACCGCTGCAGCGGAGTTCGCTGTAGCGACTCGGCGGGGGGGGAAGGCGTGCTGTGCTGCGGCATCAGTGGCGCGCGGTTGCCCCACGTCTTCATCTCAGAGGCGCAAGGGGGCATGCCAATGTTTGGCTTGTAGATTTTAAGGGCTTCCCAGATCCCCCAGTCTCCCACACGGGCTGCAGCGAGGGCAGCTAGATACTCCAGAAATCTTGGGACGTAATCTGAACCAATCGCATCATGACATCATTCTCGTCCTATCGTCCCCCACCCCACCCCTCCTTCTCTCCTCAAGCCCCCTCTCCCCCTCCCTCCTCCCTCGTTTTCTGTCGACGGCGGCGACGGCGACGGAAACGACGACGAGGGCACCCTTTTGCACGTAATCGCGGCTTCTGTCGGGGGTAGGAGCATGACCACGACGCCACTTCCGCAGCGCAGCCTCGCACCGTACAGGGGGTGTTTTGGGCAGGAAAGCGAGCGCGAGCTTCCATCATGTAATGCACACCATGGCTCGGGCAGATGGTTGCACTTTTCATTGCTTTCGTGAACATGTCACAACTGTGTTGAAGATCGGGCAATCAACCTGGGCTATCGGGCCCGCTTTTCCCCGGATAACCTGACCTTCCTCGAATGGGGGTACGCAGGAGCCGGCGCGCGCGGGCATGTGTGGGGATGCCTGGAGCGAGAAGGTCAGGCTATATGCCAGCACCTCCCTCGCCCCCTCCTCCCACTGGATCACTTGATTTGCAGTGGAAAGCCATGCCGAGAAACACCCTGCCTGCCTCCAGGGTGCTTTGGGTGTCTTCAGTTTCCATGGTTCTGAGCGCGTGACGCTTCCACACCTCAGAATCAATGGGCGTCCTGGGGTCTCAGGGTTGGGTTTCTTGTGGAAAGTACCTTGTGGTCGAGGAACCCATGGGAAACCCGTAGGAGTCCCGAGGACATCCATAGGATTCCCGAGGAAATCCATCGAAACCTTTCGGAATCTTTGCTACTCAACATAAGAAGAGAGCAGCTTCGATTCGCAACTTTCCCCCGCGATGAACAAGTTCGGCCTTGCCCCCTCTCCTCCCTGACCAAAACTGCACTGGCCTGGGACAACAAACTTTTAGTCCTAAAGGGGGGTAATTACTATCCGGGGGTGCAGGTTGTTGCCGCAAGTATCGACTACACGTAGGAGCGACCCTTCGCCGGAGTGACCTTTGGTGCGGGCTCACCGGGGTCCCCCCGACCGATGAGCGCGATGCGATCGTGGCTGCTTGCGCGCTTGGAGTTGGCCACCTTGCGCCCACTTAGTCCGCGCACGAAAGGTCACTCTTGCCCAGGGTCACTCGTACGTGCCGCCGAAAGTAAGAGGACGATCTCCTCCCACACTGGATCGAGCAGCCAAGGGGCCAGAGGCCAGGCGGCGAGGCACCATGCGCCGCCGCAGCGCCCGCCCAGCCGCCCCGGGGGCCGGGTCGCTGTCCACCTGATTCTTTGGAGGGGTAGGAGGAGGGAGGAGGGATGAGGCGGGAGGGGGGAGGAGGGGCGAGGGGGGGGGAGGCAGGAGGGGGGAGGAGGGAGGAGGGAGGAGGGAGGAGGAGGAGGGAGGAGGGAGGAGGAGGAGGGAGGAGGGAGGGTGGAGGAGGAGGGAGAATGAGATCGAGAAGGTCGAGGCACAAAGTGACATCACAAATTATTCAAGCCACCCCCTGCACGGTGAAGGCGGACCCGAAGACGAAGCACGTGAAAGTAAACACGATGACGGGCGCAAGGATACAGACCGACATAATATTTCGCCTACAGTAATGAAGCACAACCAAGTGGAAATGAAGGCGGTCCGATGCGACCCGTACAGCAGAAGCCACTGGTCATCGGATAACCCCAACAATTTGAACATGTTGTGCATGATGCCCCTTGACACGCGCCGCCCGCAATTGTCGAAATGTAGACAAGCTCGAACCACAGGCCCCTAAATCGGGCCGCTACCAAGCCGACAGCTGCTCGGCAGCCTCATACACACAAAACCGATGCGAGCATCCGCATCACTGCCGTATTGAGGTTAGCATGCGGTTGGAGGTGCCCTGGCGCAACTCCGTCTTCTGTCCAAAGTGGGGCTCATTTGTTGCTGCGCAAAAACTCTTCCACGATCTGCTTGACCCTGTAGTCCTTCGCGAACTCGTGGACATCAGCGTACGTCCTGGTGTAGCCGCCAAGGAAACGCAGGCTGACGGACTCACGCTCGGTCGCCACCGGTGTCGCTGGAATCTCCTTCGAGCGTACGTTGGCAAGGGCTTTCAGAGCGCATGCATGAGCTAACGACACGTCCCACTCCGCCGTGGAGAGGGTCTTCCACCCACTGAGCGTCGCTGCAG